AGAATATAAAAATAGATTATCAGTTACTTTGCGGTAGGTAGGTATTTTACTCGCCTGATTCCAGTAGTCTTGTCTGTTGCAATGGGAGAATAGGGGATAAAAGAATTCCTAGGGATTCTAGTTAACTCACACCTGCTAAAACCTGCTAACGTGGACCTCATTGCCTGCAGTCCAAGAGATCTTAAAGTAGATAAAAGGGTTGTGGTATAGAAAGCTGGGCTTGAGAGGGGGTAAAGAAGATAGAGGTCGTGGAAAAGGGTGGCTAGCAAAGACCTAGGATTTGGGTCTTTACTTTTATAGCGGAATTTCCAGGTGGGTGGCACCTTGCCAAACTGTAGTCCCACCTATTCACAAGTCCATCCCATGAAACACCTGATTGGTGAATGTGGAAAGGGGGAGGTATCCCTATGGGCTGGGCCAATATTTGAAACACCAGGCTCTATCTCATGGAACCCCATTTGGCTAGGTGTGAAGTTGCTTCTTCCTGTTTCTCCTTTGAAGTACAAATGGATCTTGGCTCTCCCTGGCCAGTTGGTGCTGTCAACAGGAAACTGCTATACAAAATGCAGATAAAAGTCCATGCTTTACGTGACCTCTTGTCTCTGCAGTAATGGGGGAATCTTCTTCTCCAAGTTGTTGTTTTCTGATAACAACGGCTACCATGTGCTTCTTCTTCCCATGATCCTTTGAGCTGAATGTATGCAAGCTACATTAACATAAAATGCAGGCAGACTTTTCCCATGTGAACTCTGTCTCACAGCAAGGGATTTAAACAGCTTTCTTTGGCTCATGGAACACAAGTGTGTGCACAGTCCATTTATAGTGCGTGTGTAGCAGATATAAGTTCAGAAATAAGTCCATCTCTCAACAAGTTCATGATGTGGTGCGGCTTCCGGGTCACCATTTCCAGGTGACCTCACCGCTTGGACATCACTGGCATGCCGCATGACTAGCAAAAGCTATTTAAAGGGTTCACTGCCGCGGCGAGTCTTGCAAGTGAACGCAAGAGGCATTTAAATTTGCCAAGTCATGTTGCTGCAGCGGCACAGCTTGGAGAAGACTTTTGAGCTGTCAATGCAGTGATCTGACCTTTGGTTTGTCTTTTTGCAGTGAACAATGTTGGTCAGGCAATATCCAGGGCCATATACTATCTGGATGCTGATCACACTGACAAGGTGAGTTTAGTCTCAGCCCCAACATTTGCTGGCCTCGTGTCTCCCCCCACAAACTCAAAATATAATCCCACTTATCTTTTCTATAAAACCCCATACATATTTTACAAGACAGAAGCAGGCTCAGAAAGGGGCTTTTCTCATGTTTAGGGATGGGGACGAACTGGGAAAATGGAGGTTCGTGAAGGTTTGTAGTTTGTGTGGTCTTACAAACCACAAACCTCCATGAACCTTCCCATTTAACCGACTAGTTTGTGATGTGGTTTGGCTTCCGGGTCACCAGTTCCAGGTGACCTCACTGCTTAAACATCACTGGCATGCCGCATGGCTTGCAAAAGCCATTTAAAGGGTTCACTGCCGCGGCGAGTCTTGCAAGTGAACGCAAGAGGCATTTAAATTTGCCAAGTCATGTTGCTGCAGCGGCACAGCTTGGAGAAGACATTTAAAGAGACCACAGTCTCCAAGCCCCGTGGCCTAGACCAGCGTTTCTGCCCACACAAACTGCACATACCTTCCAAAGCCACCTGGGAGGGTCTTGGCAGGTTCCTGGCGGCAGGTTGGCACGAATCTTGGTTCACGAACCACAGTTTGCGAACCACAAACCAGGCCCCGTTCATCACGGATTTAGGTTCATGAGCCGGTTCGTGCCCATCCCTACTCATGTTCCTTCAGAAAAGACTCTCACAGTAGCTGAAGTTGCCTGAGACACTCCAGAAGGAGCAGAGAGATTTCCAGCCCAATTTAAGGAAAATGACAATGAGCTCCTTCTGTCTTAGCATGCGCTCACTCACAATCATCAAGGTGACCAATCTCATCACACCATGCTTTCTTTTCCTCTCTGTAGTATATAAAGGACATGGTGCACTGCAACATGCTTTCGAACATAAAGGTGAGTGAAACGGAGTGCCCGGTTATCCCTGCCGGGTATCAGAACTGTCCACCTCTTGTCCAGAACGTCAGACCTGTGGGATGTGGGCGAGAGTGTGCAACCAGCCGTTTCCCCCCCCCAGACCTTTGTGGGAGGAGGAGAACCAAGATGCGGTTGCTTTGTGACCTCAGGATGCACTTCCAGGTCACTCGAGAAATAGTTAGGAGCACGGACTGTGTCACGAGAACGTGCTGCTCCCTGTGTTCAGCGTCTTTTGGATCTGGCATAAAATGGATTTGGATTGACATGTAGCATGAGTGGCAACAGAACTATGGCGAGAGAAGGGTTTGGACATCTATTATCCGGTCGCTTAGACAGTTTCGTCTGCTCTTGTCTTCCTAGATGACACAGATCGTCCTTCCTCAGATGGTGGCCAGGTAAAACCTCGGTATTATCCTGCAGCTCCAGCACTGCGAACATACATCTCTCTAAATTCTGGGAGGGGGGAAGAGTGTGTGTTTGATTTAGTTTTCCCAAGGTGGCTTTCAAAGATCAGAGCCCCCCTTTTAGCCAGCGTATGGAAGAACAAGCATCCAAGCCTATGCAGTATTCTGATCAGCTAGGTTCTACCGTGGTGACCCACCGTACAACTCCGTATTCTTTATTTGTCCTATCCATTTGGGTTATGTAAGTTTATTTATTTATCTATTGGGTTGATATCCCGCCCTCCCCGCGAACGGGCTCAGGGCGGCTTACCTTTAAAGGCACTATGTGCCAGAGTACATAAAACCTATAAAACCAGATAAAACAACCATATCATTACAATTAAAGTGCTCAACATAGAAATGATCTTCCAATCACAATGAAGATGGCATTCTGTAGAGGGACACAAGTCCCAGTTCAGCCATATCTGTCTCGTACGTTACTGTGGCTCGATCTCCATACGGGCCAACCCACTACCCCGGTGTTACTAACTATAATAGTTGGTGGTAGTGGTGGG